TCTTTTCCATTTTCGTCGTTTAGTTTTGAACCTTCCTGAAGTAAAGTGTTCTGTTTATAGAGTCCGAAGACGTTTTCCTCGGGAAGCATACGATATGTACCGTTTTCGAACCAGTTTCCCCTAAGATTGATTTTTCACTGTAAAGTGGTATTGATTAGGTGAAGTCGTTATAAGCCTCGATCGGCGCAGCCTTTGTCAAAGCAGTTTTTTACGATTTTCACTCTACGCCCTTCTCATAGTCATACCCGTATTGGATATAGCGGGAAACTGTCATTTCCACGGCCACCTCCACCAAATGTTCAACACCATTGAACGACAGTATTTCTGGGATCCAAAGATTGTCTGGTAGCTTGGATGAAAGATGGTAAAATTGAGTTGGTGCTGTAGCCGCAGATAGGAGAAAAACGTCCAAGTCAGAAGCAGGTACAGACGCTAACCAATCTTTCCGGGGTGCGCCATGGATTACATTTCTAGAGGGATGCACGAATGTTCACTTTTGGTATCTTCAATTTCGTACCAATTGATAGACACTGGGGAACGAAAAATTGGGTGATCGAGACAATACTAGATCTAGTAACAATATGAAACAATGGTGCCTAGCACTACCACATTTTATTTCTGTTTCTGGTAAAATTAAAACCTGAAAAGGATGGACTACTTACTTGAATGCGAAGGAACTTTTCTCGAATATTCGTTTCCGATCGTTGATAGTGAATTCCAGCGTGCCACGGTTGCAGTCCAATTTTACACCAATAACACTTCCTGAACAGTTTAATTTTTTGGGCTGTCATTTCAAGCACTGTCGGCTCAGAAATGAAGATATCTCCGCTGAATTCCCCAGTTAAATTAGGATTATTTTTTCTTCCGCTTAACTCACAAATCAAAGTAGATCCCTTTTTTCTTCATTGCTTATGAGTGCGTAGAAATGCAAATCAACTACATAATGCTCAAGCAGTAAATGCCTAATAAATGCCTGGTCAGAAAAATGATAGACCGAGATTTTTATCGTCGTAATGCCCCATTTCTTAGACTTCAATCCGAATTCGTTGTGGTGCTTGAATGCGTATGTGGCCTATACCAAGCTTTGCAAGGATCAGACGATGTACAAGTCAGTTAGTTCAGGCTTCTATATAAACCTGGAGGAAACAAAGTTCCTGCAGGCCTGGAAGGGTAGCGGTGAAGGGTTCAATTTCCGACTATATACGTAGCATTACACCTCTTGGACTTACCCACCTTCACCCCAATTTTCAAAAGAATTAGTCGAATTATAAGGGAGAAAATAGTTCTGAGCGAATAGTCGCTGAACGTCCCACCGAACCTGTTCTATGTAAAACGTGGTCAAGCACTTGTCGGAAAATGTTCGAGATCTGTAGTTCGAGGAGCAGTCAGCGGGCAATTCGATGCTGGCATTATATCATTCCCACTTAGTGACAAAGACACCTGACACATATTCTAGTAATCGTATTTAGTTATGAGTGGAACTTTCAACTTTCACCAGTTGGGGCCAAATTCCATGGAAAGGGAATCGTCGATCAATCAGTGACCATTAGTGATCGATCTCTTATCTGGTGGATTGTTAAGATGAATTACTGGACCTTTCCATTTAAGAGCGGAGCTGCGCTTTCTTTCGGCTACTGATTGTGAGAAGACACACCACTGTTGCAGTTCCTTTATGAAGATCCTCGAACTCTCCTAGATATCTCACCTTTCCCTACTCCTCCCACTATTCGGCTGTGATGGGTTTCGTTGTGCAAGTACCATGATCTCTCATTATCCACGTACATTGACCATCCATGAAGATCTTTCCCTGAAATTCAGGAGCGTTTTCAAATAAATTCAAACAAGCTTTCATTCATCAAATTTTGTTGTCAGCAAAGTTGGTGGTTCACCAAAAGGAAAGAAGGGTCTGAACAACTTGATATGGGTGATTTCCATCGCCTTCCTACTTTCATTTGGAGTGGAACTAACTTTCGAGTGTTCGACCTATTCAGCCATTCGCCAATTATTATACTTGCAAGAAGCACACGGTATGGGGCGAGAGTCTTGTCACGGTCCTCATCCCTCCCTTTGGGACACCAATTGGATCAAATCCCATACCCTGGATGCTTATGGCACGCGTTCTGCTCAATATCTCTTTGTCCTTCCTTCTACACATCAAAACTTTTAGGACCACTTCCCTACCGAAAAAGAACTGGCTCTTAAACTTCTCAATGACTCACCTAGCATGATATTTCGGTTCACAGTCGGCTGAGCGACACCGACGACAACATCAGCGTTGCTTTCATGACGAACCACGCTCACTTCCCAATAGTGAACCCCCTGGAAAGTGGATTTTTCAGTTCAATTCTTCCTGCGGTACCGTATTAGGGTTGTAACCCCTCCATACCTTTGAGAAAGCGATTGAGCCGAGGATCGTCCTGTATTCGAGACTTGTGCCTGTCAACGAAGTGCATTCATTTGAAAGCTGCATGTCACGTTGTGACGGTGACTTTGTCAGTTGAAACCAGGCCACTGAAAAAACAACGATGCGCTGGCAATTGCATTTCAATAACGGGAATATAATTTGATGTCTAGTATTATTTATTTATTGGTGATTATTCTATCAATTTTTTGTTGACTCGTTCTTGTCTCTGTGGAGTCTTCGGAGCAACAGTAGTGCCACATTCAGTGGATTCAAAGAGACCAAAGGAAACTTCTCTTGTTATCGGATTCACGTAGGATCCTACTTAAAAGGATCACTTGAGAATGTAAAACTCTTAAGCGGATACAGGCTGAGCCCAAGTCATAGACTAAATATTTTTCAAGTTGTTTTGACGAAACTGATAAGGGCCGGATGCGTGGCGCATTGCAGGGGATTTTTTGATATAGGCCACCCTATTAGCGTGTGGGTTATACTTCTGGGTGTTGCCCATAATGGCAAGATGGGGTAAGGATTAACTGGAAACATGCTAATTATCGAGCTGGCGACCATTATTTCGTACCCCCGACGATGTCCAGACACTTCCAGTCCCAGTCACTCAAAAATATCAACACGTTTTTGTGAATCCTCGAAGCGAATAACAACCCCCTCGTTAGAAATTCATAGAAGGATGGGACGTTAACAAATGGATGGCTTGATGTGTTCACTGTTTTGTTAGAGAGGATTCATGAGAACAGCTATTAACTTCAGCTTCATGACAATCACTTTATACGATCAAGCTAAAGTCAGCGTTAAGCTGAATGGCCGGCTGGAAAGCCAACGTCCCGAATCAACTTGTTAGGCGATTATCAATCCACACCGACCTACCTTCAGCTGTTTGAAGGCAAATCGGTTCGCTGTATTCGCTTTCACCAGCTGCATTGAATGCCTTTACTCGAGCTGTGTATACCGTGTTGAAATGCAGCCCATCAATAGTGCAAATCGTATCACGTCCGCAATACACCTCCTGAAAATGTACAGTAAGACGATATTCAGACAACTACCTATAACCTCCATATTCCAAACCAGACCATCCCAGGTGGGCGCACTGCGACTGCTTACCTGCCTCCATAGTACTTTACGGAGATGGTGGGCAAAGTGTGCTCAATACAAAGTATCGACACTGTAACCGTGGCCCAGCTCACCCACTTTCTTTGAACAGCAGGGCATATATGCTAGAAGTTGGGGCTTCATTATTCAAAGAAACTAGCTTGGGAGTTGGTTCAGGATCGACACTGTAACCGTGGCCCAGCTCACCCACTTTCTTTGAACAGCAGGGCATTCGACACTGTAACCGTGGCCCAGCTCACCCACTTTCTTTGAACAGCAGGGTATATATGCTAAAAGTTGGGGCTTCATTATTCAAAGAAACTAGCTTGGAAGTCGGTTCAAGAAGAGCCGGTTTCCCGAGTTCATTCACATGGTAACTGTGGGCTATGTAAGCCGCTATGTCAACACATCCCCGTTAAGTCAAAAAGAAACAGAGGGCATCGTTTCAGTGCGCCTCAGAGCAAAAGGTAGGCCATGTTTTTTACACTTCCTTCCTTCGCTCTGAAAGCAGCTCATATTTCACCTTGAACTTTCCGTCGTCCCTGCCTGTGTCGATCTCCAGGCTGTAACCATCGATGGCACAACCGTCTTGACGTGGTCGCCATACCACCGTCACCGAGTTGTTCTCTGCTGAACACTCGGCTGCATCGATCACGGGAGGAGAGGGTACTGAAATAGGTAATATATCACTTATCGCCTGGCTTCTTTCTGATAGTGAACTCCTAAAGGGCGCTATGGGTCGTAGCTGAAATAAAAATGAACTGAAGAGTGCGATGGTGAGGATCGGTCTACAATACTCGTCTATCATGCATAAATAGAGACTGAGGAAATGAGTGCAATGTGCTCTAGTTAACAAACACCATCACGATCAGCTACCGTACCTTTGGACGAGTCTCCTTTCACACGGAAATTCTGATTGGCTAAAAGATATGTAAGAAGTGTTAGATGAGGTTAGTTGAACAACATGAACGAATGTGAGAGGGGTTGAGGAGAAGTGGCGAATCCACGAAAACGATCTGAAATATTCCAGAGGTTCATACCTTTAAGTTGAGCAAAGTCCAGGGTCTGTATGGAGTACTGTAGCTGTTTCGTGTCCAGATTCAGCACGAAATCTGGATCGACATCTGGCTTGGTCTTCATTTCACGATGCCACAAGAACTCTTGACTCGTCGAACGATGCAACAAAGCAGCCGAATGCTGTAACAGAGAAGTCGAAATAAATTCCCAGTTTTTCAAAGCCGCCTTTTCTCTCAAGTGTCTTCGTAATCAAAATGCAACTGTCAGTCAATGGTTAAGTAATATAGTAGAATAGAAGGAGGAGTGAAATCACTTCATACGCCACACATCCAACTTGCAATAGAAATCGCAGTGGATACATATTTGGTCTATGCTTGGGCAGCATAGGTGGTGAACAGTTCTGGGCTTCTGCTTATCTAGGCAAGCAGACCGACCCAGGAAGCATGACTGGCCTAGTAGAATTGATTCTATGAGATTGTGGGAGCGTGGGTGTTAGAGAGACCGAGCTATCCTTTGTAGCCTTGGGGTTCGGGAACCAGGTTTCGGTATTTGAGAGGGGATAACGATTTTCTTTCCAAGTATTTCATCAGGCTTTTACAAATTATACTCAATGTCAATCAGTTGAAACTATATGCGTTACCAAGAATCGAATATGAATTACGAATCTTAATTGGTCATTAAAAGTAATGCTTAAAAAACTTCCAAGCGGTTTTTTCTCAATCTCTGATAAGCCATTCACAACCTACTCACCTGTAGGTAGGTGGCCGGATCAGGCTCCTTCAACGCTTCGATACAGAACTGAATCAATCCGGTCGTACGTGACAGTTTTGCTGTACATCGCGAGATTTGATCTCGTAACACTTGTTTCTGAAAAAATGCTCTAAAGTAACAACGAAAATATGATTCTCATAAGGAGATGTAACTGAAGCAGGGCGGTCTTCATTCTTCAGTAGCCATTCGTATTTTACAAATCTGCTTATGAAAAGGTCAGTGTGGTTCACACACATTCTGGCAAAGCTTTCCTGGTTCCTGAGCGAGAAACGGTAATGACGGGCATTCTCATCGAGCTAGTTGGGTTCGTAGATACGAAATTTTGTGAGAGATTCGCTAAGGTAAACCTGCGGCTGCAACGTCGTCAAGGATGTTAATGTTGTAAGATTACGAACGTTCTCCTTTTCAAAGATTGGGGGTTCGACTCGCTATCCCACCCAAACAGACAGTTATTTTTCGCGAAAAATCTAGTCATCACACTTTAGGGCTTTCACGATTCCTTTCTTTCACCCGGCACGAATTTTGCTCATAAATCAGCATTTTCACAAAGGCTTTTATCGGAAAAGCTTTCCCAAATGTGCAGACATTTTCTAGGTCCATTACACCCCACAAAAATCTGCTCACCTTATGATCCTTTTGCTCATCCACATGCCTCATTAATTGCTCTTTTCGCATTTGAAGCTGTTCGATGAGAGCGTCCACTTGAATGCAAAGATTCGATTTGAAGTCATTACACGTATTCTGAAAGGGCAGTGTTAATTGGAAGACGGCAGGAAAGCCCTTTAGTCCCCCACTGAGTAGAGCCCGATGAAGAACGTTTTCGATTACGAGGGACAGCCTGTGAAGAGCTTTTCATACGTAAAGCTGAACCTATCCAAATCACTCCTTCTGCAAAATCACCGAAGTGGAGCGTTGGGACCCCAGAAAAAACTTCCCATCAATAAGGGTACAGTTTAAATTTGCGTCGGAGCTACCCCCTGATCCCTTCCTATCTCTTCGAGGGTATGACCCAATATTAAGCCAAAGCTCTGGGCTTTTTGCGGATCTACAGGCAACTGCTTCGTAGAGGCAAATGCTAAACCTTTTTCTGCCAACTTTAATTAAATCACCCCTTCAAAGAATCGATAACGTAAAACTCTATACTCTTATACATTTAGATTCCTCAACCGCGAACGGGCAGCAATTAGAATTATTTAGCGTTTCCTCTCATGTTTCCCTTCTTTTCAACGTATTCATTTTCAAGTAAAACCAATTAAATGAAATCGCACATGTCTGTAATACGACGCTTGAACTTATTACAAAAAAAGAGGGGGGTGGGGTAGGCTGATAGCCTCGACATTTTGAATGTTTCAGAACAACCCACATTTAAATTGTCGTGCATTTGTTTCAATCGTCCTATCTCTTCAGTAGCGGTCCGAGCCTTTTCACTCAGTTGTTGAAGGGTGGTCGACAGTTCAGCCTGAAATTTAAATGATCAGTTTACGGAGTCGAATTCTTGCAGCAAGAAACAGCAGTTCACACTAGCGGTTGAGGGTAAACACAAACTGTGATAGTGCTGAGATTAGGACAAGGGGGGAAGAGCCCGCTGTGCTTCAAACGCGCAAAAACTGAAGACGTAATTCGTCTGGGTATTCAGGCCAGTCAATATGTAAGGTATTTTCCTGTGCAGGATTACCCTTTTATTGGCAGATCCTGTAGCATGAAGGCCCATACGGGTCGGTAAGGTCGCTCATGACTCATATATTTGTAACTGATGTTGGAATTTTGTGAAAAGAATTTCATACATAAGAATACCACCATATACTGAATGGAGGTCAAATGCGGAGGTGCATCCCCAGATCCTTTAAAATGGATTGATCAAAGCCCAAAGACCATCAGATCTCATGCCGCCCCAAACCCGTAGGCTTATGTACATCAGCCTACTACCGCACCACTTTTCAAGGTACTCTAGTAAAAAAAATGAGTGAAAATCGATGCCTGTCACGGCCACAATTGCTAAAATGACAAGTTACAAGACCCCAGTCAAGACCAACTTTTCATCCTTCCACCCTACAAATGTGGAGTCTGATTTTGGGTCGAAGCCCTCTGAGATTTTGGCGGATCTTTAGCAACCTACACCGACTGCTCCTTCCTGGGCTGGGTTTGGTTAAAAAAATAGTCCCTTCTAAAAATTGCGTAATTTAAAACTAACCCCTTTCAGGCTAGGTGATCAAAGAAGTGTGCTTTATTGCCCGCATCCGCTTCTCTGTAGCCCCATTATCCTGGGCTTACTTATACGAGAATTTCCAGTTGCAAGGAATATAAAGTCTGTTTTTAAATTAGAGCTGGAAATCCGCCTAATAGGCTTGTTAGAACTAATGACAACCCCTTAGCTATGTTTTTGAGCTTTTGAGTCCATTAGGAGGTTTATCTCCAAAATAGAAAAACCCCAATTCGTTCCAAAAGGTTGCTGATTTTGTTGTGGTGACTTCTGTTTAGATGATGATTATTTCATGTTCGAGCTGAAAACAAGTATTCACCGGGGACAACTCCACTCAATTAGGGGAAGGCTTCATACATGGGAAAAGCTGACATGTCGCAAGGGAGAGTGTTCACAATAGCCCACTCGGAGCTAAAGTTTGGTAGATATCGGAATGACCTGAGTAAGCCAGCTTGAGAGCTTCATAAGGGAAGTCATAAGCTTTTTTTGATGGGACCAGCTGCTAAAGAAGACAACTGTTGAGTCAAAACATTTAAAGGCCTACGTCCCTTTCCGAACCCTTCAAAGTATGTAAAAGTACTCAAAATTTATACGTTTCATTTGATATCACAATTAACAGCAGACGATTGTGTAAATATATATTTGATCTGTTTTTTTTTTGGCAACATAGTGACAGAAATCCACTCAAGAGCTATTTTGAATAACAAAAAACAGACGTTTTAGGTGTATGTAAGTAATAGAGGATTCGGGACGTGGTGTCAAAAGGTTCATCTCTGCTTACTGCATCACTACTTAAATATAAAACAAAGTAAGAAAGGTCGGGTAATTGTCATTGATCAATTCCTTTAGAGCGTGCAATACGTACATATCACCTTTGACCCGTATGGGTTCATGTAGAGGAACGAACAATCGACTCCCCAGCTCGAATGGCCCAGTTCGCGATTAAGATGATCTTAGAGAGCTCTTCTTGAAAAGATTTATAGGCCCTAGAAAACCAATATGGAGGTCGAAAAGGAGCCATAATACGGGCCAAAAAGCCTGATAAGGCTATCAGGCGTCTAATTTCCAGTTCTAATTTGTAAAACAGTCTTTTATATTCTTGGCAACTGAAAATGCCTCAAAACATTTGTCGTCAAAACCCCATTCAGTTATAGAACTTGGGGTAAAAAACTATATTGTTAATTGTGGCGATAAGCCCACACCACGTTTGCAGATCATGAGTTTATTTCGAAGTTTGATTTTTTATTAGCTTTCGAATAATATGACATAAACTCTAAGAAAGTCCAGTTGCTTTGAATCTTCTAACGAAGTTCATAGCGCAGAACTATAATCCATATCTATCGCATTTCCGTTCCTTCTTACAATTAGTCTTATGATCATTGCTGATAATTTTGAGACTACCCTCACAGGGGCCTTTTGAGACTTGGAATCTACGCTGTAGTTCCTTGAAGCACATTGAGAATGCAGTGCCAAATGTGTCGCGTAAAGCTGCCATTCAAAAGTGACGAATCAACAGCCCCCAAATGACGAATAGCAACATCGTCCGGCACCAATTTGGCGCAAATTCACGTCCGATCGCCCAGCTGTTACCGGCACGCAAGTAAGACAGTACTGTAGCAATAATTTACTTTTTCATGAGTGAATTTTGTGTCAATGGTAAATCCCCAACAGAACAAAAAAGACGAGAATTAACGTGACCATCTAGTTCAGACTAGAGGGCATTCCTAAGTACTTCTGTCACTAGAACATAACCCTTTCTCGCACTTTTTCTTTGTCTAACTTTCTTTCCCAGACCCACTTGTCATCAGTGAACGTTCCCGATGACGAACATGGGCGTTTCGGTTGAGTGACAACCATTCACGATGAGCGTATGCAAAATGCGATTTGGAATTGTGAACATGCCTTATTTAGTATTCCATAAACCTCGGGAACACTTCCTGTTTCAGCCCTTAGGGTAAAGCCTATAGGTCTTTGCCTAACTGGAGGGGGTAATATTGGAAATCCGAAAACCCTTAGGCATAAAAGCGAATTTTAACGAAACTCCTAGGGATCCCCTACGTATGTTGCCCCTTAATGGCCGTCCGATTGATGGCCGGCCTTTTTCGCTTGGAATCCAGGCGAAATTAACGAAGTCTATTAGGTACGCTAGACGACGAGGCGACTCGCCACAGCCTATACTTCCGGTGACACGATTGGATTCGGCCATCCGACGAGGTATCCGGTCAGGTCATTAGTGGAAAGCCTCGAAGATCCGAAGAAGATGCTTGAGAAGAGACAAGAGGACTAGTCGTGAAGCAAAACATAAGACCAGGAGGATACGAAACACCTCAGTGATCCTTCAAATCACTAATCGCAGCGTTTGCTCCGTTCTGCAGCTCATTCATCTTGCTCAGTTACACTGCTCTCTATCTCCAGCCTTCATGTGTTCCCTCGCAGCTCATCTTCGGCTCTCATCTTTGACATTTTTCGCAATGAATACCTAACAACATCATCTTAGTGGGACAAGACCAAAGAGTGCTTTCCAGGACGTGTCCATGTGTGGATCAACAAAACTTTCTGAGAAGAAGCATTTACTCAAAAGTGCATTGGGCCGGGAATACGAGGACCGGATCAAAGTCCTTAGAGCTGCGAAATCTGAAAAACGATGCTCCCCACCGAGGTTGAATGTGAAAGCTGCATTCAAGTCCTGTACGACATTTTCTTGAAATTGGAACGGAAAACTTAGAAACCTACAATGAAACTTCTAATAATATTTGAACAATCATTTGATTTCTGGACTACTGTAACCCCTTGGTAGAGTTCCGCCAATTTTTAAGAAAATAAACAAGTCAACAACAGGCCACTAGGACTTTTCTCTTGAGCGATTCCACATATTGTTAGCATAGACTTGTTAGAAAGGCTAAAATACTGGCTTCTACATTGAAGTGTCCCAGACAGTTCCAACGCGCTTTTAGAGATTCCTACGATCGTTTATGGGAATGGAAGATGTTTGTAAAGCAGAATTTCGAGTTAATCAAAGTCAAACTGCTTTGCTCCCACACCTAGTTGCATGGACTTACACCCATGTCCTGTGGTACGACAATTCTGACTAAAAGTCGGTTTTTTTTACTGCGATAATCACCTTTTTGAAAGTTGTTTTTTGTGACTATCATGCTAAACTCCCGGACCACTTCACCTCTTCCCCACAATGTTTTAGTCCTAAATTGGGCAATGATGATTCCTCGATTGAAGGCCATTCGTTTTTCTAATTCTTATAAACTAGGAGCAAAGAAACTAAGAAAAATGGGAATCCGTAGTATAAACTAATTGAGCAATAGCAGCAGATTATATAAATGCCATTCACATCTCAAAGGAAGTGGTCGCGATTTCCCCGTGTCTTCCACCATTTTTTAAGGCGCTCAGAGATCACCAAATCGGAGTTACGCCTTATCACAAAATCCCTTCCACGACAGGCGTTTTGTCATACATTCCATTCCCCGTGCGATTACGCTAATTCCCTGATAAGGGCGGATGGATCCAAGAGCGGCAAAGTATTGATGGTGTCGGCGTTGATACCGTATCGCTAACGAATACCGCTGTGCTTGTGTGTTTATACAACAGTGTTTATTCGGGCCCTTTCCATAATCCGTTCCACAACGTCACCTCCTTTACGGCCATTACGTAACTGAGCCATCGGCCCGAAAACAGCTGCTGCTTCTTCGTTGTTCGTTTTTGAACGGTCCGCTTAGCCTACGGATGAGCTGAGCAAGCAATTGAGGTCATCCTTCTTGCTGTCGAATGGCTCGGACTTTTAGCAAATATTTCAGTTTCAAGAATATCGAGTTCGTGACCTTTCAGAATCCAAGGAGCAGAGGGTGTGGGGCACATTCTGACCCATTAATCGTCATTAGAAACTATCGTGCTCAAATGAAGCATATGGCCCATACATATTCACGCCCCTAATTACGCAATCACGCCCATCCGTTGGTGACAGATCCGTCCCAGTGATTGCTATAGAATCATTGATTGATGGACGATCAATAGAATCCATTCAAGCAAAAAAATCGCGGCAGCCCAATTCGTGGGAATCTTCTAGCGGAATTCAAGAAAGTCATGAAATCACGGAAAGAGCCACTCTTTGGGTTGTTGGCTGTTTCTACGGAGAAAGAGTGCTTTTCTCGAAACCTCACTGGGATACGGATGTACAAGTTGTTATTGCCTTCTACTACCTGTTGTTACTTTATAGATTATTAAGGTTTCCTAGTAATACCAGATGTTCA